GTGAACACTTCCAATGAAATACAAAGACTAAAATGAACAAGAAGTGTAAGCTGTAATCCTCTACAATCCCTCTCTGAGAAACAAAATTACCTGAATCCGATACCTTTTACATTAATGATGTGCATCTCGGATTTTACAACTCAAGGGTCTAATTGGTTTTATTATAATCCTTTAGTCAATACCATTTACTGTGAAATACACTTTACATACATTGGCATCAGGACTTCCGATAGACATCCTATATAAATGTCCTCACACAAGCGAATTATCATTTTCTCTTCCAATGTCCTAGAAATAACGTCCTACGGACGTTCCAGTCGGTACATTAAGTATGTTGTCCCTGCGATGGCGCTAACTTACACCTCGCCGACGATTGACTGTAGGCTATAAGTACTTCCTGTCAATGTCTTTGACGCAAGTCCATTGGATATCCTTGGGAACCTTCATCAGGATCTATTGGGGACCTTTAACTCAATTGAATGTCTTCATCATTAATGAAAGATCTGGTCCTAGGAAGACTCAAATGAATTCAAATGCAAGAATAATTCGTTCGTCCCTAGGACATTCTTTGGACATTCCAAACGACATGCTATGGAAGTTCCAGGGACGTCCTATGATCGTTCCAGAGGACATCTAATAAACGTTCCAGAGGACGTCATATGGACATTCCAGAGGATGTCCTATGAATGACCTCGGATATTGAGAAATTACACACCTCGTATTTCAACTTGATTTGAAAAATCAAACATCAATTCCGAATCATCAGCAGACGACTTTTTCCAATCCCGATTATTATTTCTTTCACGAGCCTTTTTCACAATAAAAACAAACGATTCAGCAACAGTTCAGTTTGTTCATTTCTTCGTGTTCGTGTCTGTGTTAAGGTTTTTCATGAACCAGTGTATAAGTATTTAAAATTCATGTCGATTTCATTTATTTCACCATTTTTATACCCGGAAAGCCATCATAAATGTAAGTACCTAACATTTCGACCGAATTCCCGCTAACTCAACACCAGAAATCATTTATACAGGGTGTTAGGTACTGAATAACACCGAAAAAATTCGAGTGATAATTCCTTGTGATATTTTAGGAAATAAAGTTCATATAAAACATGTGTCCTAACTTGCTTCGTTTTCCAGATACAGGTTATCAATATTTCCATTAAAAATGATTTTTTTATTCATTACTCAATTGTCTTCCATCCAATTCCATCACGTTGTGGTTTTGTTATTATCAATATGGAGCTTCTTGTGGTGCAATTAGATTCGAAATAATGTATCCAGTGGCGTCACAGTGGGTAAATCTATCGATATTTATGGTGAATGTCATTGTACGCCACCAGTTTTTCTGAGTTTCATATTGTTTTCGTCTCACGCTTACGTTCACGCTATAACGAATAATGACCAGCAATTGCAAGATGTGTTGTTCGGTGTCTCAGTGCAGTGAACCAGAACATAACAGAAATTGGGGAACCTATTTCCAAATATGTATATGTCTGTGTGTAGCAAGCACATGAGTAACTGATTATGAAAGTCTATTTATAAATCAAGAAAATATTCTGATATCAATCTATTTTGATGCATTTTTTTTCTCAAGGGAAATGGAGTCCAAATGCAGAAGTTCATTTTAACAAAAAAAAGTACCTCAAAAATGGTTTAGATACAGCGATTTGATGTGCGCAAGACGCTTCGAAAATGTTTTGTTGTGTCCATGAAAAGTGACATCTCGAGGACAAATTCAATAACGCCGCCTGCGGCGGACATTGGCTGTTCTATGAAAGTTCTATTCATGTGTAAACAGAACATCGCTTCTAACTTCTAACATCTCTGAGATGTTTTTTTTCTCGCTGGGAAGTATGAATTTAGACAAAAAAGTCTGAATTCAGATAAAAAAGTTTGAATTCAGATAAAAAAGTCTGAATTCAGATATAAAATAAAATACACACAACAGTGTTTAGTAGGAATTCATTCGGCCACACGAAGACAGAAAACTTACCCAAGGATGAACACTGGACGCATGTGGATGCTTTGCTTCCACCTTCATCTTGAAACATGATGACGTCACGCCATGCGAACAGCGAAAATAACCACGAAACTACCACCCATTGTTTCCGAGTGATCAACGGGCAAAACGCCGGTAATGCTCTTTATAGTTGACGGATGAAGGAAAGCTCGGAAGGAAATAATAACATGGTAAAAGGCTGCAGTCATGCAACTCGATCTACGCACGCATGATATCCGATCCACTTGGCTGTGAAAACAGTCGGTGGCGAGTCGATAAACAGACCCGAGCGCCTGCGCCATTATCGCCCACGTTTTTGGCGGCGGTGGCGGGAAATCGGAAAAGCCCTCTCCCGAAGGAAACATGGAAAATAGGTTGGGAGTACGAGACAGGGATTAAGGGAAAGTGCGAATCAGGCCAATGTCAATGGTGAGGGCATCCGCTACCCAGCGAGCACAAACATCCCTGGGATGTTTTGGGATGTTTTGAAAATGTTGGCATGAAGATGTTAATTTGAGACGTAATATGCACTGACCAAAGATGTCTTTGAAGGGTATTGAAGTATTGTTTTTGTTCTTCTGTGGCATTTCTTTGTTTGCCTACTGAGAGGTATCCCTAAGATGTTTTGGGATGTTTTAGAAATGTAGGCATGAGGAAGTTTTCTTGAGGCGTAATATGCACTTTCCAAAGAGGTCTTAGAAGGATATTGAAAGTATTGTTTTTGTTCTTTTGTGCCCTTTCTTTGTTTGCCCCACCACAACGTTTCATGCTTACGTCACAATACGATGAATTCTGATTTGTTTTCGATTTTGTTCTTCTTGTTCGCAATTGGCACTCGCGTTTGCAGCGTGTCACGCTTACATCACGCTGCTAACGAACAGAAAGGAATTTGGTGAAGTTTATTGTGTTAAAAAGACTTATTTAGTTTGTAATAATGACCATCAGATGCAAGATGTGTTGTTCGGTGCCTCAGTGTAATCAATATAATTATAAAAGTACGAATTTATCAATACACAGCTTCTCCGCAGTTGCAAAATTATGCATTGTGGAGAACATTTCAAAAATTGGGAAACTTATTTCCAATTATATGTCTGGAAGGTAATTTCATATAAAGAAAATATTTTTATGTTCAATCTATTTTTAATGCATTTTTTCATTCAAGGGAAATGGAATCCTAATGAAAAAGTTCATTTTGACAAAAGGCTTCAGAAAAGTACCTCGAAAATGTTTTTTACAGCGATTTAATGTGCGCAAGACGCGTTGAAAATGTTTTGTTGTGTCCATGAAAGGCTTTAAAAAGAACTAGGAAGAAGGTAGTTTTGTGACATATCAAGGACATCTCGATAATTGCCGCCTGCGGCGGACATTGGCTGTTCTATAATAGTTCTATTTATGTATGAACAGAACATCGCAGTGGAGGTTCAATGTCTCGAAATCTCGTACTTTCAACATCTCTGAGATGTTTTTGTGCTCGCTGGGTATGTTGCCGAATTCACAATGCGATATTCTCTACATCGGAACAAGATATCGAATAAAATAGAGTAAACCATTTTTGTAGATATATAAGCTGAAGGAATCAAACGGTGGAAGCAAAATGTGAAATTTTTCACCTGTGTCAGAAATGCCAAAATTAATCGGAAAAAAATCGTCCTATCCTGTATAAAATATATTCACACGTATGGAAAGGAGCATTAGTATAATAGAAACGTTGTACAAAATTTTCAATGTTTTAATTTGTGATAAAACTATTCCTGGTATAATACAAAAATTATGTAATAAACGTTTTTTTGGTCTGATACAAATATTTAAATGTTTTGTGACAGTGTCCGGTCCAAAAAATGTTACATCGACTTTCAATAAAAATTGTAACACCATTGTAATCATCCTCGAATAGTGTATATTGTCAATGTGAACATTTCAATTTTCTCGTATAGGCTCCCTGATGATGAAAATATACATTTCCGAAAGCTCGGACAAACTGCAATGAGTAAACCGTTAGTTTGTTGCAATTCACTAGCAAGCTAGTTTTATTTATATGTATATATATAGTGGAAAAGTGGTCTCATGACTGGACTAGTTGCAGAAAACTAATATTTAGAAAACAACAGTAGAAAACGATGTTTTCCTTAGGGTTTGTAGTCTAAGCGAGTGGCGAATGTAGAGAAAAAATTCTTTGTTAAATAGTCGAGCTTTCGATACGTTTTATTTTTATTATCAAGACACCTGAAAAAAAACAGGGACCCATTATATGTATGGTATCTTATGTTCAATTTGAAGAAACTTACTTACTTGAGTAGTTACATAAGAAGCAGCTAGTGCACATCATAGTTGAACTTCAAAAAACAACACAATTTGTAGAAAAATATTAAAACGAATTCATAAAAAGTCTTATCAGAACCGTATTCTGCTATGATTGTGAGCAACATGGTGTTCGAGATTCAACAGTTCCTAACGGATGTGACGTTGAGATTTGAAAAAATACGTGAGGTAGAACTGTGTCAATGTCAGAACGACATGTGTCCACTGTCAATGGTCAATATTATTTTGAGAAGGGCGGTCAATTCAAATTCGGAAGGGCTAAAATAAAGGAAAACCTAACCGCTTGCTTTCGAATTTGAATTGACCGCCCTTCTCAGAATGTGTGCATAATCAATAGGTAATGTGATATCTTCTCAATATTTAATTGTTGTTTTTCCTGTCACAGAAAAAAATTGCGTATTAAACAATATTAGATTTTAGCTCCCCGTTTTTTGACAACACAACCTCGAGCTAAAAACTAATACTTTTTTCCCTTTGTATAAGGTATATTTGTAGAGTTCGACGAAGAAATGTAATATGCACCTCAGCGAAACAGGCTCGACTGTAATAGACAGTTTTTCGTCCTTAGTAGGTATGTGAATTATTGCTATTCTATGAATTGAAGTGACATGCATGAAGAAAAAATGAGACACAAAACTAAAAAAATATATGTATTACACAAATTAACACATATTATCACAGCTCTCATTTATTGCAATATTTGGAGGAGTACTGTATATAACCTTATATGAAAGGTATTCGAAAAACTAACGAGCACTACAAATAGCATTTAGTAGAATATTTCACTAGTAGTTTCCTCCATCAAAGATCACAATTCAGCTAATGTACTGCAAATATCACAAGACGGCATCCTCTTTTTCTTTTTCTGAAAATAAGTCAACATTATTATGAATTCGACAAAATGAAAATTATCTCCAATCATTTCTCATTCGAATTCGGCAATATATATATATGTCGATATGTAGATATAAAGAAAAACATGACATAGCCTCCATTATTCACCCTAAGGTGACAAATGATGTCGATTGAACTCAAAGAATATATTCCAATTCGATTACTACGTAGTTTCGATCGATAGAAATATTAGAAATATGGTCCCCATAAATCCTGCTGACATTTTAGACCAGTAAAATTAGAAGTCAATCGCAAACTAATTTGTGAACAAGCTAATTCGCGTAATATTTTTTTATTAAGAGATGTTGAGAAAACGTATAAAAATCCCAAACTATCTCTGGAAGTACACATTTCTAGTTTTCTGTAATTTTCTCCCAGAATTCTCTTGGGTATCAACATCAAATTCCTCAACCATTGAGTCACACACGAGGAGAATTCCAACTGATCATTTCAATCAACATCAAAACTGTGAGACAGCATATCTTTTCTTTTCTAAAATGCGTATAATAATAATTTGATAATCGACATAAACTGTTATTAACGAATTTCAAGTATTTACGCAGTATATTTTCCATCGTCAGGATCGTACAGAAGAAAACCAATATCTTAATCGTGGAATATGTAAATTTGCAGCTTCAATGGTTGAGGCAGAATCGCTAATTCGAAATTGCTATTTATGTATAGATAGTTCCTAGCGATCAATCTTTTGATGATATTTCAAGAAGTGATCATTTCAACTTTGTGAATTTGAAATATCATACCATTTAGAGAAACTGTCTCACTAGTTTTAATCCTCCGTTTCAATGAAAACTTTTTTTACTAAAATGCATTCAAATACTTGTGGAGTGGATAATTAGGCATAATGAGAATGTATAATGTGATTTCGTATTAGTTTTATCGTGCATATTTTGCTGATGTATTTACCGATTTTCTCAATTCGGTCTTTTCACTTCCCATTTCTTAAGTTCACTTGCATTTTTTGGAGAGCTGACAATATTCAAATTTGCCATCCAACTGATCGATGCAGCCTAACGCAGCACATTTTATCATCCTTCCGAAACATAATTGAATAAGGTCGTATTAAGATTAACTACTAATTGAACTTAGTAAGATTTCTTTTAACGTCCATGAATGTGACGTGACAGCAATGTCATGTCAGGGACGCCAATAGACGAAACCGTACCCTCTGTTGAGATGACAAATACGTCTATTTGCATCAAGGGATCCTATTCTGCATGACAGTGATCGCATTGTTTTTTCTTTCTTCTACGAGTACGAAGTTGTATAGCGTGAAAAAAAATATTGAAACAGCAGATTCCTCCAAGGTTTGCTGTGTTATATATATTTATGCTAATTATAGTAGGAATGAAGTATTTTCTTGCGGTAAAAAGTAGCCAATGTTCATCAGGGATAATGTCAATGATAAAACAATTTTTCTAATCGGTCCAGTAGTTTCGGAGCCTAATCAATAAAAAACTGACAAACAAACAAACAAACAAATCATTCTCCTTTATGATATAAGTATAGAATAACGTTCTTGTCTTAGGAGAGGGAGACGAATGCAGGTTCTGTGGGAAAGAGGAAGAAACCCCTATCCACATACTCACGGAAGGGGGCACAATAGATATTTTAGGTCTCAGTGTATTTACCCCTCATGCATACAATACAAATGATGTCTATAACTTAGTTACTATCGTCTAGAATTCTAGATGATTACTTCGTCACGCATAATTTATCTTCTTGGATCTTCGCGATAATTTTATTCCTCTTCATAGTCATCAATCTTCATTACAAGAAAACGTTCACCAGAATCAGTACACTCTGAAAATGCTTTTTTGCCACTTCGGGACAGTTGAATATGAGTGTACCGAATACAATAATTCTTTTCCCGATTCACCTCTCCTTGGTTTCTGCAGATGAACGTTATCTTGAAAGTATTGATCCTATTGTCTTCGCCAACGATTATAACATCATTCATATACCGAAGATCACTGATCATACTCTGGAGTTATGGAAATCGCAGTGTTGACTACTGTTGACAATTAACGCGTTACATCTTCCTTACAGTGAGTTGTACTGAAGAATATTCAATATAAAACTTGTAGTTAATTTACCACCACCTCACCAGTGAGGAGATAATGCAAAAATAAACAATTTTTGACGCCATTTTCCAAGATGGTGGCTCGCGCGAGCGGTCGCTGAGGTCGCAAATCAAATGCAAAAATAAACAATTTTTGACGCCATTTTCCAAGATGGTGGCTCGCGCGAGCGGTCGCTGAGGTCGCAAATCAATAATTACCGTGAACTCTAAAACATATCAGAAAATCAAAACTACCGGACCTTTTGCAGGGCAAGACTTCCTCATGGTCCCTGACTACTGGACTATTAAGTCATCTGATTCTCCAGCTAGGCTAGCTAATAATAGTTATTTATGTGTCAAGTGCGTGAAATAGACATTTATGGACAGCAATGTGTAGATAATAAACCGAATTAAACGTTTTATGAAAAACAAATATGCACTCCCAACATGTTTTCACATTTCAAACTGTTTGAAAGTTATTTGCGCTAAATTAAAATAAAGATTTATCTTATTTTGATCCCATGAGATTCTTGCGGATCAATGTTTATTATATCTAGATATGATCCTGATTAATTCAGCTTGTCACAAACTTGATAATGGAATCCAAATGCACTTTGTTTTACTGGCGTAATAGTATTCAATGAAACAAATGCGAGCAGATTTTGACTACCTTACCTAAATTCATTGAAAAGATTTGAAGAAGGATATATTCAGGTTATATTTTGATAACAAGAAATACTCACCTTGATATCTGTCCTCTTCAGCATTATTCCACGGTTGAATAGAACCAGATCCGAATACACAAAAAATTATTGTGACGACCACGTATATAATAGATGTTGAATAAAACACAAACTTCCATTGGTCAGCATTTTCCTAGAACAACATTTAATTCGATGTTAATCCACTGCACTATTTACGAAATAGAATTGAAAAATAAAGTAGGGTGTTGTATGATACATAATATCGAGAAATATTCGATTGCTTCTTCTCAGAATATTTGCTTTTATAATGCCTCATATTTGAACTATTATTGAAAGTCTGGCAACATTGCAGATGTATGGTTCTTATATTTGTTTCATCCATGCACAGGGATTCATCCCTTTGTGGATCACTCATTATGAGAAAACCATTCAACTCTGTTTTTTTTCAGAATAGTTATTTTTCATCTAGTGCGAGTTACAAAAATAGTCGAGATGACGAAAGTATTTCGCGGACGAGTTGCAAACAACATTTTTTCTACGACGTCAAAAAAATCAGTTCTAAAGTAGCAATAGGCTTAGCTCAATATGAAAAAATGTGTTGAACTAGCTCAAAAGGTCTTCATTATTCAACTAGGAAAGGGCTGGGGTCCCTTGATGCAAACTGACGTATTTGTCATCTAACAGGGTACGGACAGATCATAGCTCCTTACTCTTTTAATCATCTAGTGACTTTGGTTTCGTGTATTGGCGTCCCTAATATGACATTGCTGTAACGTCACATTCATAGGCGTTAAAAGAGATCTTACAAAATTATAATTTCATACTATATCTTAATACGACATTAATCAATTCTGTTTTGGAAAGATGGTTAAATGCGCTGTATCAATCAGTTGGATGGCAAATTTGAATTTGTCAGCTTTCCATCAAATGCAAATGAACTTAGAACATGGAAAGTGAAATGAAGTGTAGAATAGGGAAAATTGGTAAATACATCAGCAAAATATTCTAGGTAAACCTAATACGAAATCACATATCATACTTTCTCATTGTGCCTATAATTATCCACTCCACAAGTAGAGACAGTTTTGATTAAAACGGAGGATTGAAAGAAGAGGGATATGCCCTACCATTTGAAAAATTATACCTACATTCATGAAATACTGAGTGTTCGTGAAAAACTGCAAAAATAATTCCCAACACGAATATATACAAAACACATGACATATGAGCACATTAGTTTGAATACCTACAAAACATTTTTCACCATTCCTCAACCATAAGGCTCAGTATGAAATCAAAATCCATTCATTGATAGGTACTGCACAGTCCCATTTGGTAAAACGTATTAAACTTCCAGAAAAATGTGCTCACTCCCTCATAAAGATCATGCTGGAGTTGAAAAATCAAAAACTCGAAAATTATCATCATCATTTGGATATAATATGTAGAACTACGAAATAGCCACAATGCTCAAAGTGGAATGGAATGTTAATTACAAAAAACTCAGTCATTTCCATTATATTTCCATAATATGTAGATTTGAATGAGAAATTACATTTGAAAATTACGAATGATGCGCCAATGTCCTCAATATAACCTAAAAAACAACAAATATCCGAAATCTAGTGTTTATCCCCAGAAATGAATGAAGATGGAACTATATATTTGTTTCACAAATACTCTAGAGTGAGAGGAGACGAGGATCTGTCCGTACCCTCTTTTGAGATGACAAATACGTCAATTTACATCAAGGGACCCTAGAAAAGGCCAAATACTCAAAGTGGAATGACATAATTACAAAGAGAGAGAAACTCAAAGTAATTACCACAATAGTTCATCTAATGAACGAAAATGGTATATAACGAGAGGAGTAGGCAGATTGAGACCTCAGTGAAAAAATCACTCCCTATATTCTCCCATCGTCTTTTAATTTATATTTTTCAATTCTTGAAAATGGCTCCAAAATCTGTGCCGAAACGTCGAACATCTACAAATTCTAGACGCGGTCCAACCCGAAATCCTAGTTTTCTTGTATATTTCTAATGTGTGGCCTACGAATATCACCCTGTATAGAAACAACATAAGATGACTAACCTCATCTGGAACTAGAAATTGGACAGATAATGGACCCAACGCTGAAGATAGCAGAGAAAATTGGTTGTCTATACCCATGAGAGTACCAGAATGGTTCGGAGACAGATCCATGTGGTTGACTAGAAATCCGCTTAGGCCAGCACTGCTGATCCCAACAGCCACAATCAGTAAGACGATGACTAATTTGACTTCGTCTTTTCCCGTGTTACCCAGCCAGAGTAGAGCTATTGCAGGTAGAACCATTCCTAAAATATAATAGTATATTTCATTACAAGTCTGGAAATGGGGATTTTCTCGTCCGCGTGTGTCAAATTCTTAATCAACGATATTTTTCATTACACCCCGTTGAAAATGGAAATTTAATGATGAAAAAAAGATACAAAATGAACTTGGAATATTTTTATTTTCACAGTTGTAGGAATGAACACATTTGGACCTGATGAATTTTACTGGTAATATAAGTTCGCATTCGCTTGTGCCGCTTGCTCTAGGATATTAACGGGAATTCCGGGATTTTCTTCCGAGTTCATTTCGTCGGCATCAATTTGATCGACAGAGAATAAACATCAATGCTGACTATTTTACTCATCACATAATCTGACCACTCACAAGCCAGAGACAACGTGTGCTTATTTCGAAAACATTAGCTGTCCTTCAATACTGATTGGTCTATCAGCGTTGATGTTTTCAACGATGTAACCATTTAGTCTAAGAGCCAGCGCCAAAAAGATTCTCTGAATTTACTAAGCCAATGGTTTTGTACACAAACATACTGCGGTCAGTCAAGCGAAACTGACAACAGGTGTCCCTGGTATACTATCGAAGTTGTCGTTCCTACCGAGGTAATGCAATGAATTTACTGAGGCTGAAAATCATTATACACATTGTATATTGCATATTAATGAAAGTTATGAAAGTCAGTCAGCTGACTGTGGGAACGGGAGCTGGTCAGTCAGCCCCAATGTATGCAAAAAATATCCTGAAATTTTCATGGCTCTACGTCAAAATATACGGAAAATAGTGGGGTGTTTCCATGAGAAGTGAGACTGAATGTCCAATATTATCTATCGAATAATAATCAATAAATGGCCTAATCATTCGATTTCGTTGAATAATCATGAGGAAAAGAGCGAGCCGCCGCCTGCAATGGCGATCGCGATCTATTCTCTTTCATCTATACATATACCATATTAATAACATTGTATAATACTTTCATTTTTGTTTTTTTGGTTCACTCTGTAAACTGAAAAGGAAAAGAGTTCAAGAGTAGCTATTTAGCTAATCTTCGCCTTTTCAGGACAAATGCATGTACATTTTTCAAATAAAGTCAATTTATTATCATTATTATTATTATTATTATTATTATTATAATGTTTGTGTACAAAACCACTGTAATAAACTGTGAAAAACTAGGCTTAGTAAATTCAGAGAATCTTTTTGGCTCTGGCTCTCCGTCTAATTGTAGTGTATATGCAAGAATATGATTCATCATCAGACATTAAGTAATGATCTGGTTGGTGTGGAATCTGGCACTTATTGTTGAGTAGTGAACGAATGAAGATAACAGCGAATAAAGCGAGGAATAAACCACAATTAAGTTGAAGTTATACTGGCATGAAGTTGAAAAGAGAAAATTATTTTAAAAAAACACATTTTACAATTTTGAAGAGAATGATTTTGGAGTTTTCAGCTACTTCAATGAGTTTTATATTTTGTAAAATAGTTTCTCACTCCTGTGAGAGAGTTGATATAAAAGTACATAATGTTCGAAGTGGAGTGGTAGTTGTTGAAGGAATGGGCATGTACACCTTAGTAGAACTTTGAACTCAAACCATGTTTATAATGATCCTTTTATACATAACATAAATAATGATTGACGACATAATTCGATCGAAAAATTAACTGGAATGTTATATTTTTGGATATAAATAATAGTACCTTCTGAAAACGGACCCTCTTATGACGTAGAAACCTCATCTCACCATAGTTAAAAGAAAATACCAAACGCACGACGGAGACTAAGGTAACTGATATATTAATTCTTTCAACTGTGATCTCGCACTAATTCACTCTGTCAGAAACCATGTATCATTCATGTCTGTCTGGAATAGTCTTGTTTCAGTATTAGGGTTCTGACGTCACATCATCGCCTCGTTTTCAGACGTCCGAAAAATCGGGGATTTCAATAATTTTTTATAAAACGTAGGGAGCTCACAGCAAGAAAGTGTTTGCGGTGGTGAGCTAGTTTGGGTGAGTTCTATCGAATTTTGAAATATATTTTTTTTGTGATATAAGCCCATTAGTAGTCTCAAGATGATCTCCGAGAAGGAATACACGTTACAGATTCATGATAAATCCGTCATCAGCCAAAAAATAGAGGAAAACATCATGCAAGAACATGTATAACTAAAATTGGACTAGGGTATAGGGAAAGATATAGTTATTGTTCCAGAAGGTATCATGAAATGGGTCAAAACACTCACCAATTCCGTTCATCAATTTTCTAGTCGTACCAATAGAGCATATTTTCTTATTTATAAGTTTATCTGCAACGAAGCTGAAGAAGTAGGCTAATATTAATTTGAGAAGGTACGGAAGGCAGCTGATGAGGCTATTCTGCAAATTGAAAAATGTCTGTAATCTTACTATTGAAAAACAATAATTCATTCCTCATTTTATCTCACAATCACTTCTCAAATGGAGTACCTAACAACATATTTTCAATGATATCTCCATTTTGATGGCAATAGTGGGTCAGTTCGATTGCTCAGGTATCATGATAGCTAGAAACATGATTCAAAAACGAGTGTAAACTAGACGCTATACTAAAGTCTATTCCCAGCAATTTTTGTCGCATATACAGAGTGCACCGAAAAACATCTAGAAAGTTGAATTGCTTTTTCTTATATACCTATTTCAAATTAAACACCCCACCCCGTATTTTTTTCGATCATGTGATGTCGAAATGGGACATGAATATTTTTTGTCTGTACAGGGTGGCTGGGATTCATTAGAATCTCGAAAACCGTAAGAGATACAGGGTCGGTTAAATTATGGTAAAGTTACAAAATACAGTTCTCAACACACCAAATGGACCACTCTTAATTTGACTCTATTTCGAAGACCTGTATTTTTTTTAAAAATTGTCCGATCTTCATGCGGTTTTCGATATCAGATGTGATGTTTCATCGGCTTCAAAGAGAGCTAGAACAATCTGAAAAAGTCCGCAAAACAAAACTCACACAGGGTGTAAAGTGGAACCATTACACTATGGTCTACATTTCCAATGCTGCCAGAACTCGAGAAATTTTTTTCTGATCAAAAGTCAGTCATATTATGATACACTGGGACCTCATCTCGAGACGTTTTCGTGATTTCTCCTTAATTGGCCATTGGAACAAAAATTCGATTTTTTTTCGAAAGTCTTGCATTTCTTGATTTTTTTCTCTAGAACTCCACTTGAGATGACTATTGGGAAGAACTGTTCTCATGTTTTATGGAGGATAATGGAAGACGAAAAAAGCACTTTTTTGGATTATACAGGATGATAAGAAACTAGGATGAAATCTCATTTCAGTGAAAAAAATCAAAAATGGTGACTAAAACTATGGCCCATTCGATCCAGTATATTCAGAAACGGCCTTCTCGATATCCATTATTTATATTAGACCATTAACTCAAGACGTTTTCGAAAATTCGCCTCTAAATGAAATACAGGATGAAAATTTCCAATTCAAACTTGTTTCCTGATATTGATGGTTTCCAATATTTATTGCCCAAGTATGAGACACAGAGTATTGTTGTTCAATGTATTGAGTGTTCTACAACTTATCTGACAAATTTCAACCACAACTACGATATTACATAAGAAGTCTATCACAAAAAAAAATTATAGAAGTAAAACGAGATGAAAAATAAAATTTGTAACACTTTATATCCACTAAAACTATTCTAAAAGGGCTCTATTGGCGAAATATGACATTATTGAATTCTTCAGCATTATGAAGATCCAACTAGAAAGTCCTATATCCTAAATTTCAGTACTTGGTAGGCCTCCCCGATTCAACAAAACCTCATGAAATCGGTTTGGCATAGATTTTATGAGGTTGTTGATGAAGTCTATTGATATTGCCGCCCATTCTGGATAAGGTTGTCATTATTTTGGGGTGCCTCGCCTTCTCGATAGGTCAAGTTTCATTCGGCTCCACACATGTTCAATCAAATTCAGATCTGGAGATAATGCTGGTCACCACATTCTTCTAACATTATTGTTTTCTAGAGTTCGTAATTTGTCAGATAAGGTGTGGAACACTCAATATATTGAACAACAATGATCTGTGTCTCATACTTGGGCAATTAATATTGGAAATCCGTTGATAAAATGATGAGAATCATCGATATCAGGAAACAAGTTTGAATTGAAAATTTTCACCCTGTATTGTCCTATTTTCTTATCACCCTTTTCGAATAGTTTTAGTTGATATAAAGTGTTACAAATTTTATTTTCCATCGCGTTTCACTTCTATTAAATTTTTTTGTGATAGACTTCTCATGTAATATCGTAGTTGTAAAACACTCAGTATATTGAACAACAATTCTCTGTTTCTCATACTTGAGCAATAAATATTGAAAATCATCGATATCAGGAAACAAGTTTGAATTGAAAAATTTCATCCTGTATTTCACTTAGAGGCGAATTTTCGAAAACATCTCGAGTTAGTAGTCTAATATAAATGATGGATATCGAGAAGGCCGTTTCTGAATATACTGGATCGAATGGGCCATAGTTTAAGTCACCATTTTTTATTTTTTTCACTGAAATTAGATTTTGTCCTAGTTTCTTATCATCCTGTATAATCCAAAAAAGTGCTTTTTCCGTCTTTCATTATCCTCCATGAAACATGAGAACAGTTCTTCCCAATAGTCAGCTCAAGTGGAGTTCTAGAGGAAAAAATCAAGAAATGCAAGACTTTCGAAAAAATATCGAATTTTTGTTCCAATGGCCAATTAAGGAGAAATCACGAAAACGTCCCTAGATGAGGTCCCAGTGTATCATAATATGACTGACTTTTGATCAGAAAAAAATTTCTCGAGTTCTGGCAGCATTGGAAATGTAGACCATAGCGTAATGGTTCCACTTTTCACCCTGTGTGAGTTTTGTTTTGCGGACTTTTTCAGATTGTTCTAGCTCTCTTTGAAGTCGATGAAACATCACATCTGATATCGAAAACCGCATGAAGATCGGTCAATTTAAAAAAAAAATACAGGTCTTCGAAATAGAGTCAAATTATGAGTGCTCCATTTGGTGTGTTGAGAACTGTATAATGCCTAACAAAATGCCGTTTTGAAATTTGGAAAATTCATTTTCATTGTTATATGACTATTCGAATTGATGTAACAAAATACACATTCTCATTGCTACTTTTTCTGTTCTACAAGATTGTGTTATCTGATTTCCAAACAGACGTATATCGTCTTTGAGCTGCCACCATCAACTTGTTTTTTTTACCTACGGCCCTGTATTTTTCATTCTGGATTTTATGAGCTTTAAATCTCCTGAAATGAACGAAAATCGTTCATCTATTGAACGGCAAAGCGTTGGAACTCTTTGGCAATGAAAGTATTTCCAAGAACTTGTAACTTCCAAAAGTTTTTAAAAAATCCAACACCTAGCTCTTACTTCTATCCCTATCCTACCTATAGCACGATGATCTTCGAACATAATAGGAATTTCATTTTGTGCGTTTCACGAGATAAAAAAAAATATTTGCGAATGAATCATAATATGCACCGCGGTTTTGTGGCCTTATTTTGTTTCAAGGTGGAGTTGATTTTATGATTGTTTTATTGGCTCATTAATTTTATATCGACGTATACCTAAGTAGTGTAATATTCAGATAAAAGTCAAAACAATTGACATAGAAATTTGTGCGTAATTGGGTTTTTACATTCTTGAGACAACAGAATGATAACATGAAAACAAATAAATGTTATATGAAGATGTTCTATAATAAAACAATACCGTATAATATGACTCTATTTTTGTTTATATCTCTCATTGAACTAATTCTACGAATATCATAACAAATTTGTCAAATCTTTAATTGTGTTGCCTTAAATGTTAGATTTTGATATCAGTTTTCCATAAAGTCATGTTACGCTAGGAAATGTTCAAAAAAGATGAGGCTAAAGTGTAATTTCAGTTCTTACCTGATAGTGTAACTATTACACTCTACAGGGTATTTCACGTTGTCATTCAAAACAAAGAACGTCCAAATCAGACAAGTAGTTTTAACGAATATGTTTTCTAAACTTTTGGGTACTTCTTGGTGGTGCGTTAGTTTCTTGGATAAGAGTATTTTCCTTCGTTATATTATCTATATATCAGGCTGAGTGAGGGTAGATTGTCCAAAAAAAGCATAGTCTCCTTCCTTATAAAGGAAGGATATTTTCCATCCTGATATTATCAATATATATTAGGCCGCGTTTAAATAGATTGTTTAGAAAAAGTAAACTCCTTTTGTTCTACAGAAATAATATTTTCCTTCCTCATATTATATATTATAGGCAGAGTTAGGTGAGATTGTTTGGAAAAAGTAGTCCCCTTCCTTTTGTATGAAATATAATATTTTGCTTCCTAAACTGATTGAATTTTCCGTATAAAAACATAAGAATTTTCCGACGTTACGTGCAATTACAGCATACTTTTGTTTCCACACCAACTGCACTGCATCTTATATTGGGCAGACTGGTCTCAAGTTGTCACAAAGAGTATCCGAACACACTTCTCTCATTTCAACATTTTCAAACAACCCAAGTAATGATAAATAAATTCCAAAAGTTTCTGCTGATCACATTATTAATGAGAAACATTCTTTTGATATTGACACAATGACTGAATTATATTATATAGGAATTTCCTTTCTTTCGCTCCAAGAGATAAACAAAATGGAGCAGAAGCGTTCTCAGGCGAGCAATATCTTCGGACTTCTGAAATGTGACATAATATAGCGGTCTAGATAGTAGCTATTCTGTCAGTGGGCTCTTCCGACCATGATGAAAATAGACTGGTGTAACCACTTGTCAATTGTTTCTTTCCAAAACGTGTAGACCGGGAAACACCGTAGCAAGGCCGCACCGGATTGACTGTAGATGGCGTAGGGAACATCGTGCCACATATACTTCACAGATATAATGAAAATTTCACGTCTTTTTCATTTAATCAATCACTGTTTCTCAATGTTTTTGAATTACGAATTAATATACGTAAATGTAAATCACTTCGGGAACAGCGCCATCTAGCGCTAGTTTTGCGCGGCCTTACTACGGTGATAGAATTCGACATAATCAAATAGGCCAGAGGTCTACAAAAACTTCTAGGGTTTTGTAAGAGGGAGCTATTTCACCATACATATATCCACCTTTCTTCCGACTAATCATTGCCGAATCGATTCATAAATAAAGAAAGCGATATGAAGCATATGGCTGCAATCTGATTTTCATATGGTATATTTATTCAAAATATTTTCTTACTTACAGACTCCATGTCGAATTTCATTACACTCTTCAAGTAAATTGGAATTTCACTCAGCAATGTGAAGTATCCCCAAGAATATCCAAAAGAGGTCGTTATCAACGCCCACACTTTTATCGAGGTTAGAATTTTTCTCCATGGTGTACGAAAAGTCTGTAAAATTATAAAAGTTGATACCATAATTCCTCTAGATTTTATCAATAATGTTTACATAAAATCACAGCAAAATATTCTTCCCTTTCTCTAGTAGATATATTGTTTAACGAGCATGGAATGAGGGTCATTTCCTACGAGTTCAGAGTTTTCAGCATGAGCCTGGTAAGGTGAAGAAATAGAATTGAAGGCATAAACCATGTACCTCATTGTTTCATTGGAAACACAGTTAAGAAATAGCAGTTTTGTGTGACTTTCTTCTCATGTTTTAATAATTCTCGACTCGTTCAATTTGAAAGAATAATACTTCCATAGATTTGCTGAACGATTATTCAACTGTCAATTATTGTGTCCGTATCTGATTAACATTCGAACTTGTGATAAAAAAGACGAAGATACTTCAACAACAATGGATAATGGAGCACATATCTCGAATCTCAGATCTTGAATAAAGTTTCAAAGATTTCATGGTTATAACAGTGCTCATCAAAAATCTGTGCAATTTTTTTCAGAATTGGAAGGGAATTCTGAGAATTGGAGGATTGAGTCAGAGAAAGAGAGACGTAAAATGTTTTTCTTCAAAATATCATTGCATGCCACTGGTATGCCACATTTAAATAAAAAGTGTTTCATTAACTAGCCGTTCTAAATGCGTTATTCATACATGCACGAATAGTTACGTTGAATTCGCAAATTTCCATCGAATTTATGGTGTAAAACGGTTCTAATTCAAATTTGACAACTTCTAATTTTGTTAACCCAGATATACCTATCGTCCTTCTATAAGGACACTGCGGAATAGGTTTCCGACTGCGTAACTTGTGTATCTACGCAGATTTTCTCATGAATGGCATCACTTATTTCGAATGGAAGAACATTCGTTATAGATTATTATCAACACAGCTGATCAGCAATGAGTGATAATCAAACATTCTATTCGAATTGGCAAGCATATTAATCTCAACTATCTACAATCTGCAGAAGATGACGAAACTAATAATGAACAATCTGAAATATCTGTGGCAATTATTATGTACTAGTTACACATTATGACTTGAGCGATAACGATACAGTGGACAGTAGTATGGCTTAGCAACCTCATATAATTTTTTGATTCAATCGGAACATGGGGGGGGATCATATATATAGCCGACCAAAATATAATAGAGTAGCGTTACGTGGTAAGAAAGGGTACATGCCTTTGATATTCAACATGTTAGATATGTATGATGCAAGGCGGTTACCTTGAACATTTGACTGTCGGCTAAAAATAAGTCAATCCAATTTTGGAAGGCAACCAGAGAAAACTTTCCAAACGTTCAAAACCCTCTTCATTAAAGAACGCAGATTTCCGTTAATATCATTTGATAGTAACAAAGTAGAAGAGAATGTTCAGAATGATTTTAATGTCCTCTTGTATTATATTTCGAATATTGATATCATGAAAACTTCTCTTCTAGGAAATGTCACTCTTTTACATACTGACCTTCTGAAAGGACATTTTTGGAAACCCCAGCTTCATTTTTTTTTATGTTTCTGTTACTCCTTTTCGAATGCACGACAAATAACGAAATTTTAAAGAAACCTGAACAACTCTGTATTTCACGGTCGCCAAGGTCATTAAATGACGTTGCAATGACATTAAAAACTAGGGAAAGCTCCCTAATCCATGCGTAGTTTGAAAGTTGGACTCGTTTTCCCGTAGTTTTCAATAATATCGAAACGTTATCTAATGAACTTGGCGACCGCGAACAGTGCCATTTCTCGCCATCTCCGAATAAGCTTCATGCATCTGAAGAACAGTTTCAAACTCACCCCATCATCTTCCCCTTGTTTCAGTCCACTTTGGATATAATTTCTTTCTTCATTGGATATGGTTGAATGTTCAGCGGGGCCATTGCTTCCGAAATAAGAGAAAGTTAGACTCCACATCAACCCTATAGTGCTATAGAAATAGAAAACCATCGGCCATCCATACCAACTTGCTGCAATGTACCCACTTACGAACATCGATACCACTACCCCAGCAGGTGACCCTGAAAGAATAATATTCAATGAATAACATTCCATAAAGAAATCATTCATCGAATTAAACAGATAAATGAAAGCTAACATTTTCAGTCGGCGCTAACTAAATTTTGCCTAATAGCCTTGAAGGCTAAGGTGGTGGATATCATATTATGTAAACAGTAAAAAAAACCAAACTAACGTTATGGTTGCGCATGCTTGAGATTTAGAGTTTCAATATGAAACTTCAGATGCAATTGTTACTTCAACAAGAAAAAATTTTTTGAAGTGTACGCCAAATGAAACGAAATAATAATAATAAACATCCATGTTGATATTTTTTTGTATACAAATGTGATGACAGGTGCTCCATATTAAGCGAGGCATTGAGTCACATGTACTATATTATTCATAGATAATACAGATATAGGGAATAAATGTTGGCATATAGAATTTTCGATGAATTTTGAAGAAAGATATTCTAGCCAATCGACCATTACAAAATTTAACAGATATACGAGAGGTATTATTTATTTATTTATTATATATTATATATATTTATTCCACTGGACTTCTTAAAGGCTGTCTGCCAAATCCTCCTCGATTCTCGATAACATTTCGAAACTAACTGAAGTGGGGACAAATTGGTTGAAATTGTCGAATATGTGCTTTGTGGATCATGTGAAGCTGTTGAGGTGTGAAGTAGATTTTCGCAAGGAACAAGAATCCGATTTTTCGTGATGCAGCTGTTGCGATGGATCCGACATGATTTCCTATGACAGAGTATTACATATGTAGTGGTCTTGGTGGGAATGGTGATACCGGACAATGTTATATCAGGCATACTGAGTTCCGCCTTGAGAAAATGCAGTCTTGAGTTTTGGTGGCGTTGAATTCAACTTGGTTGTTGGTTCTCCATGCTGTATTTTCCGCAAGATCTTTATTAGAATAGAATAGAATATTTATTTATCCATTGTGTTCATATACATGAAATAGAACATGTCAGTCAAGAAGTATAAAAACATCTGAGAGTAAATCGTAATATAATCCTATTGACAGAATTGACCTGCCTACCTCGTAAGTTCTCAGTTTCCATGGAAGAAATGGAAATTCTAGAAAAAAACTTAATATCGAGAATACTATCGTCTGCAAAGCAGTGGATAGGGCTAGTGGTTGCTCCCAATGGATCGTTGATATGAAGTTGGCACAATGTTGGTGCCAAAATTGATATTTGTGGAACGCCGGAATTGATGCCATTGGTATCAGACGATACTCCGATATGCCTGAAAGAAAACTCGATAAAAGAAGGCATAGCTGTGGTGGTAAGTCGTACGATGGGAGTTTATGGAGCAGTCCTTGGTGCCAAACACGATCGAATGCATTCGATATGTCCAACGCTACAGCTAGATATTCTCTATATTTTTCTAAAGAAGCTTGCCATATATGGATGACGTATATATATATATATATAAACTCTTAAATTATTTGGGACTGCAGCAAAACGAAGGTGTACTCTTATTACATTATATTTCCAATATTTCGACAATGAATATTGTCATCATCAGGGAGCTACAATTTATGAAAATTTTTTTTAAAAGGCTCTGTAAAATTATCAATATTATCAAAATATTGGAAATATAATGTTATAAGAGTACACCTTCGTTTTGCTGCAGTCCCAAATAATTTAAGAGTTTTTAACCAACTAGTCAGGAAAAGACTACCCTTCTGCTTCTATATATATATATATATATATATGCAAGTGTATCTCCAGTTGTTCTTCGGTGGCGAGAGTCATATTGTCTATCATTAGTGATTCCTGAGCTTTCCAGATATTTGAGCATATCAATGTGGATAGATTTCTCCATCAATTTGGAAATCACTGATACCAGGGCAATTAGCCTATAGTCATTGGACAGGCTTCCGTTTCCTTCTATGGGGATTGGTTGCACTCTAGCTATTTTCCAGCCAGCTGGAAGGATACATGAATTGTAGTTGCTGGAAAATAGCTTGCTCGGTCTCAATTCCGGTGCACATTTTTTGAGAATAATGGGTGGAATTCCATCAGGAGCGTTAGGCTTATTCATTTTGAGACCGAGAAGAATGCATCTGATAGTGCAGCGACGAAATACGATTTCGGGCATTCGACTTTCAACAGACAGTAGTCTTCCCTGGGAGTCCGAGGTGGAGTTTGCTGCAAAACTTTCTGCATAAATAATCGCTTTCTCTTGCGATGTTGTTGCCAATGTGCCGTCGGCTTCAAAGACTGGTGAGAATGAACTATAAGTGAAATTCCTTCCGACTGCTTTAGCGAGGGACCAAAACGAACGAGAGCCATTGAGGCAATCTATGAGTTTTGATCTTATTCTTGAATTGTATAATTTTTTTGCTGCCAACATTTATTCCTTGCTTCAACATATTCTGCTTTAGTCACGAGGTTACAGTCCTTGAGCCATCGATGGTAGGCTGTTTGTTTCAAGGCAACAACCCTAGAACAATTCTGGTTGAACTAGGGTTTCGGAGCTGATGGTCTTTTCGAATATTTCCGCGGCACACTGTGAAGGATCCTCAGAATCAAAGCATATTCTATGCCAAGGAAACTCGAAGAAAAACATGCGGAGACCGCCCCAGTCTCCTGAGTTATAATGCCATACAAGACGTGGAGTATGGAGTTGATAGAATGAAGAATGGGAAGGTGGTGGAGATGAGTGTGTGATCAGAATCGCCAAGTGGAAGTGGAGCTCGTACATCTATGGTGTAAGGTGCTGAATGCTGACTTATTAATGAAAAATGAGTCGAGAGTGTTGGCTGGATGATTGTGGACATCAGGAATTCGTGTAGGTTCCTTGACATGCTGCTCTAAGGTGTGATTGATGGCAAAAGCTTTTGACTGCCGCCCACCATCACCCGATTTGTTGGAGTGTACGAGCCAAACAATGTCGTGTACATTGAAATCAACCCATGATGATGATGATTTCTGCTGCTGGATGGTTCTGCTGAGTTGGGTAGAGCATCAAGGACAGTATTTCGAAGAGAATTGAATGAATTATTTTATTCCAATGGAAATATCAGAAAGCATATTTTATTATATGTATTTGTATGTGTGTTCGTTTATCGAATACTTAAATCAACTTTTTGATACTATAATTTTCTCACTTTCATATTCGCAAAAGAAAAACAAAAATACGTAGACCCACTCGTCGAACTTCATCGAATGAAGTGTAAATGTATAGTGAGAGCCAGCGTTAGGGTTTCGTAGCCGATTTACACTCAGAGAAATCGTCGGTAGTAAATACCAAACGTTTAGTAGAATAGGCACCAGTCACTACATTGATCAAATAATACCACTACAAAATTGTATTTTACTAAACTATAAGTATCATACTATTTTGTAGTGGTGATATTTGATATAGTATAGTATTATATAATGTTGTAGTGGTATCATTGGATGAATGTTGTGACTGGCGCCTACACTGAGAAAATAAATAATAAATAATAAATAAAACTTGTATAACTAAATGTAATGATGGTTTCGAATTATTTTCATCAAACACAACACATATTCGTGATATCACTTATTTGAGTGATCAATACTTAGACAAACCTATTGAATACCACCTCCGAATATTGATAGTTCAAATTATCATTCACCACTACATCAAATAACATATTCCATATCCATTAATCAATGAATATCTCTCATGTAGTGGTATTAGGATTGTGTTGAATGTTACTCCCCTGATATTCTTATTTGCCACTACGTTTTAGTGCGTACGATAATAATAATAGGTTTACTTTTTGTGATATACAAATCTACCACATCAGAGAGTTATATATGCCGAATCACGAAGCCGATCGTCGACGTTCGTTTTTTTCAATGCAGGTGGCTTGGCGTTGGCGTGGTCGTTTCATCAGTTCATAGTTCATTCTTCGTTGCGTTCATCTCGTCAATTATGAATGAAATAAATTTCATTGACCCATGGAGTTTTCATTTGTAGTGCATGTGTATAGTGTAAGTACCTACTTACCTACAAATTGTGGTACTGTGAAGTGTGAACTGTACCTGATAGTGGTAACTCGAAGAGTTGATCCCGGTGTTCAACAGTAAGTAAAATACTTATTTTTTTTCAACTTGAAACTAATGGCAGGTGAACGTTGCACGCAAAATCTCAATTTTGTAGCACACAAAAATCAAATTCACACAATAATTCGATTTTTCTCTCATTCTCAACTTCATTCATATACTCAGATAACTATCTCTACTACCTACCTAATTATCATAACATTCTCCAAAAAAGTATGTCCCTATGACGGCGGTAGAAAAATATTGATTCAAAGATTGAACAGCTAAAAATGAACGAATTTATAAGTAGAAATCACTAGTTTGTAGTGGTGAATATGAATCAAATGAGTAGAGTATAAATTTATTGTTTGTAGTGGTAAATACGAACCGACGAGCTGTATATTATTATGTACTCATTTGTAGTGGTGAATAATAACCGTACAGGTCGGGTCCCTAATAACTGGTGCTTCAGTATGTCATATTGCCTTAATCATACTATTTTGTCGTGGTTATATTTGATGAATGTAGCGACTGGCGCCTATTCAACCACAACGCTTGGTATGGTATAGTGATCTTCAGGTATTTACAACGGATAATTTCTCTCAATATATTTTACTAAACGTTTGGTAATTACTATACTGACTATTTTTTTCAGTGTAACCAAGCATGTGATACCCAACGTTTGAACTTATTGGCAGTTAACGTGTTAACCAACTCATCATTCAACTAATCGAATACTATTTTAATACAAATGATTTTACCTGCATACACAAAAGTGGCCATCCGGCTCCTTTCGTTCGGTGGCACCCATTTTCCTAGCAGCGCGTGCACAGACGGATAGACCACGCTCAAACACACCCCTTGCATGAACCTGCACCCCATCACGCCCTTGGATCCCAGACTTTCCGCCATGATGGGGAGCAGGTACCCGAACAGGGAGCAGAGCGTCATGGCGCCCACCAGGAACCACTTGGGGCCGTATTTGGTCACCAGCCAGCCTGCTGCGATTTGGGGCAGCATGTACCCCCAAAAGAAAGCCGAGAGGATTATGCTCTTGTCTGTCCAGTTATAGGTCTGGAAAAATCGTTTAAAGGTTATTTTATTTTCTCAGGGAGAGCTTCTAACGTGATTTTTCGAAAGTGCTTTTTTTACAAGCGTGCGTGTTTCACCCTACAAAATTTTTCCCAGATTAGTGCGGGAAAAACATTTATATAATGTTACCGCAAAATATGAGTGGTGGGTAATACAATATGAGAATTTTGGGTTTTTTTGTTGCAGTATTTAGTAATCGGCTGGGGATAGTCCTGCACGATTCGCTGTTGCGTTCCAATTAACAGTGCTGCTCCTAAAGTGGCGCATGGAGTTAGTAACAAAGCCTACACAGAATACGCAGAAAGAGATGATGATGTGGTTGTGAGCATCAGAGAAGAAGTAGGACGGTTTGAGTAGGTGGGTGTGGAAAACTACCAGCTGAGCGTGAGAGCGGGCCAGCTGCTTAGTGGACCTCGGTCGGGGTTAACGAGGATAGCTAGCAGGCCTGCCACTGCAGCATATGGTAGTGAGTACATTACTAGCCCACAAAACACAGCCGAAAAACTCTGAAAGAGAGCTGATGGGCGGTGCCTGAAAAGGATGTTAGCCAGCTCTCTGTTAAGCGAACCACATCAGTCATTGAAAACACCTTGGGGCTTGCAAAAAGGTCCCATTAGGGACTAGTTGCTGACGTGCAAACGTATCCCACCAGTACCAGTACCAGTAGTTAGTTTGTACAAAATCATGCATCAAATTGCACTATATATTGTGAAAATGAAGAAATATTGAAAAATAATAATTGATTGTTATATAAATCCCCCTGAAGCCTTTAATTGATCTGATGTTGGAAACAATTGTTGTCATGTCAATCAAAACACAAATTAGCTATTGTTATCCTCAGAGTGACAGACAGAGCGTTACTGTAATTTTCGATTTAATGAAATTGCGATGAAAAACTCCCAGCTACAGATGCGATACAGATGAGTTATTGCCAACAAAGTTGAGAAGCACTATACGGGATCAATTGAATGGTACAATAGAAAAAAAGTGAAAACACCAACTAAAGAAGAAGTATTTTTGGCTTATTTCCTAGAAATGTCTGAAACCTAGAGGCCAAACACCATGGGTATGCTGGCTTCCGCAATAAGCTCACCTACATAATGCTTCAAACGGTACACACAATATATATTTCAATTATTAGTAGATAGAGAATATATCACTATTGTTAGTTGTTCCTATTTGCAGGAATAACTGATTGAACAAATCAATCAATTTGCTACGCTTGTAGAAAAAATATTGTTCCTAATTCATGCGGAAAGTGTCTTTCCCGCACTCGACTGCTTGCCCGAACTCCGCTTTGCGTCGTTCGGGTCAACGGCATTCGCGTGCGGAAAAGTATCTCTTTCTGCACTTGTTAGGAAAATTACTGTTTCAAAAAGTGTAAAGCACATAAGGACTGATTGAATGAGTGCGAATATTTCCCTCATATATCGATAATTGCACTGCAGATCGAAGATTGCACTGGGAAGATATCCCTTCGCCATAACCACACATTAAAAATCATGTCGCTCCATACAATCTAACCAGGAAAGTATAATTGAAAGTGAACCGAAAAAATAAAATCCAACAGACAGTGTTCCTTTATTCGTGAAAAATTCGAAATGATTTACATACGTGCATAAAAATGACCAGACAATTTTGCATTCAACCTTCGGACTCGGACTCGGGTTCTTTCGCCAAAATATGGAAATAACCTATCACAATTTTCTTGCAGAATTATCGGTAATTTGTATGCACTCATGCAATAATAACCGACAACATTTGGGTGATTCCTTATCACATTACAGTAGAAGTGTGAAAAATGTCAATAAATAAATAAATAATAAATAAATAAACCAAAGAAGAAGTCACTAAAGGTTAGACCTGTGCGTGACATATTTATGAACACATGAATATAAGACGAAATCAACTGCAACAATGATATATAATAATAATAATAATATAATCATTTAGACTAATTAAATCGACTAATAAAATAGATAAACTAAAGTAAAATAATATAATGATTTGAACTAATTAAACCGACTAATAAAATAGATAAATTAAGGTAAAATATAATAAGGTGAGGGGGTTAATTATACTAGAACAGATGGAGTAAATTATATTAGCAAATTCAGTCGATTTTTTACTGAAGCGTATTCAAAATAGCTCATCATTAAAATAAAGTAGGTGTAAGTATTATCAACCAGGGCAGTGTATGTATTATATTCTCATTCATTCTATTATTCTGTGAATCATTTCTCTAGAGTTTTCGAAAATATAACTTTTCAGTTGATTTTTGAAGTTTTTTAATGTATTTTCAATTTTGATGTAGTCTGGTAGTGTGTTATATAGTTCAGGGGCTTGATAAGTGTAACATTTTTGGCCAGTCGCTTTCTTTGTCTTTTTCAGTACGTATGTTTTATTCTTGTTCCTTGTGTTGTAATCATGATCGTAATTTTTGAGTTGATGTTTATTTTTATGTTGGTAGATGTTTGTAAAATAATAGTATAGCTGCCGTATGTCCATTATAGAGCTTTCCTGAAATAGATTGTCCGATGGATAGGTGAAATCCTTTTTATACATGACTTTGATGATCTTTTTCTGAATAATTTCAAGATTGGTCAGAGTCGTTTTACCAACATCACCCCATGCTACTATACCATACATTAAATGCGGCTGGACAAGTGAGATATAGACTGTGTGTAGCATTTCAGGATTGAGAATCTCTCGTAAAACTTCAAATTTGAATATTAGAAATCTAACTTTCTCAATAACATGTTTAACGTGTTTATATCCCATTTCAGATTTGTATCCACGACAACACCCAGGTATTCGAATTCTGTAACAGCATTTATATATCCGTTATTCAAAATATTTATTGTTTGGAAGTCTGGTGATTTTCTACTGTCAATATATGTGGGAAGGAATGATGTTTTTGTGGAGTTAATCGTTAATAATTTGCTATTGAACCATTTTTGAATTATAATGAGATCTTTTTCTGCCATTATTTTGACTTTTTCCCAGTTCTCTTCTTCTTAGAAGATGCAAGTATCGTCAGCGTATGCTATGATTTCACCGGTCGTAGGAACTGAGAAAAGACCATTCAAATAAATGTTGAAAAGGATCGGTCCCAGCACGGATCCTTGGGGTACACCGAAGGTAATTTCTCTTTGCTCGCTCCTGATGTTATTAATTTGTACTAACTGATATCTCCTTGTGAGATACGTTTTAATTAATGAAATATTATATTATGCACCTAGGGTGAGAAGTGAGCTATGTAATAGCATTCTATAGGTATAGGTACACAGTGAGAAATTTTCGGATGTAATTACAATTCAGTGGAAAATCACACGGATATGGTAATTTAGAGGGGCTCTGAAATATCCATTCGAAAGAAACACCAAAAGGATGTTAGGAGTCAAGGAGTCATTGTGATATCAGATACGGAAATAAAATTGATGATATACAAAGTATCTCATTGATGTATCGAGCACAGTGAAACAAGAGCAATCTTGTGTTTCAGCCGTAGAAAAACAGTTATATAATATTTTAGTTTACGCGTTTACGCAAATGGTCACGTAAGAAAAAACGTTTCAAAACTTCCGTCAGTTTTGAAAAGTATCAAATTACATGTCAGAATTGACACAACTATAAAAGTAATGACCAGTTTTACATGAGTTCTACCGATTATGTACAAAATTTAGTAGGCAAGTTGACTTCGTCCGTCACTTTGAAGCGAGCTTATACATACCGAGATCTATACCTTTATCATAGATTTCCCAATCCTTGTCACGAAAATCAATTGGGACTAGCTTGATTGTTTACAGATAGACTGCAGTTAAAGCTCACAAGATGTTAATTCCCATTTTCTTCTCAGGAAACTGAGAACTCACGACGATATAGCAGATCAACGCTATCAATGATAATCTTGCTTCAATTACAGCCTGGGAAACCAAAACTAAGCTTGTATTTGCTCTAGAAAGGCCGAACTCAAGATGCCTGATATATCAATGTCTGGTACCAGCATTTTCCCAAAGTCCACTATATCTATGTTTGGTATTTCCATCAATATTTTTTCATGGGAAAATAAAAAAGCTGCTTCACAAAAACTCGTATCTTTACTCCGTGCAAAAAGCTACTTTGCACCTTAACAGCTCCTCATGATCTTAAGAGAACAGATGTGGCCTGTTTCAGAATACTGTTCTCACATATGGGGTTGAGCTCCCAATCATAAGCTGATACTCTTAGATTCCATCCAGAGACGAGCTATTTGCCTGGTGGGTGATGTCACACTAATTAAGCTCAGTCAGTACCTCCTTTTATCGTCAACCTCGAAATATGTTGAACAACTCTTTAGCAGAACTTGTTTGTCTATGGAACAGCAAAGCTTTTGAATTCTTTGCCAAAGGAAGTATTCTCAAAAGCTTATAATCTCCAAGAGTTAAAAAAATACCAATACCTACCTTCTCTGCCTATCCTCCCAATAGGGATTCCCTGTCGTGCGTTCCAAGAGATTAAAAAATATATAATATCAAACCCAAACATGCATGTAGTGAATAGATAAATGTAGACACTCATAGCTAATGAAAAATACGTGTTTTCATAGGCCGAAATCTATTTCATAATGACAATCGATGTTAAAATGAACAATGTTAATAAATCGGTAGCCGATATTCGATTCGCGTATGGTATACGGAAATAGACAACAATACATAATACATTATTAGTCACTAACTCGCAGGACTTGAGATAGGAACAACACCGCAAGCATTCCAAGTACTAGAAATTCCCTCGTACTTCCCTTGTACTTCCCCAGGCTGTACACCAAACTTCCTCAGCGGTTCACCATTCACCTCTCGCTTCGAAGTATCCGCCCAACAATGATATAGTCACAAATCAGCGACGAAATTCACGAAATAGACTCGTTTTATATTATCGTTAGTAAAAAATGGCTGATTCGAATTCAGATTTCTCAAGTGATAGGTTAGGTTAGGTTAGGTTCCATGTGAGTGGGGCGAATACCTCCCCTCCACTGCGACCCCAGATGGGTCTATTGTGGCTCACCCCTAGAGGTTACAGTTCACCGTACAATCCACATCTTTTTACAAAGTTCATGGTTGAATTGGGTTAGATTTGTCTGAAATCGATAGGTTCTAAATTGGTAGAGCCAAATGTGTCGAACCTTAGTCTTTCTAAGCTAGTCTTTCACACAACAGAACCGACAGTCCGTTTGTTGGTTCAGACCCATCCTTCCCATGTGGTATCTTAGACGACAGTGTCCCGTAAGCAGTCCAGTCAGAATTCGCAGGTTACCCCTGCTCCATTCTAGGATCTGCCTGGTTATTTTTTCCGATGGTTAAGGCAGGAACGCCTTTGAATGGGTTAATCCTGGTAATTCAGACTAGTACGTGAGTGTTTTTCCCTCCGCGCAGCCCGAGATAGTTGTTTTCGCCGCACTTGCGGTGACCTCAAAATATGGTTCTGGTCCTATGAACACAGATTCGGTTCCCTGTTTGGCGAGGATGTCGGCTTCCTCGTTACCTTCCACCCCTTGGTGTCCACAGCAAAGTGACTCTGTTGTTAGCACCCAGGCATTCTAGCGATTCAATACAGCTCCATACAAGCTTCGGTTTTCTGCTGAACACACCGGCTCCAACTCCAAGAGGGGTTTTCGAACCATCTGTGTACATTACGTGTTCGGTCTCTGGAAATTGGACTGATCCACTTGCCCATTCGTCTCTCGGGAAGAGGACTTTTTCACGTGTGTCTGAGTGGCCAACATGTCGGGAACCATTCCTAGAGTTTGGTGAGTTTTTGTTTCACACAGTATCCCGGAGTAGTCCAGCAGTCGCCTTCTCTAATTTGATTTTCCAATGACAGGAATCTGTAGAAAACCATCCTGGCTCCCGCTCCTTTTCAAGTGATATCGACGGAACAGCACAATCTTCGCCCATCCATATTTTTATTTCATCGCCAGTTATATAATATTTTACTTTGAAAAACTGGTTAAGTGAGGTAAGGCGTTTCAATTCTTCTGTCAGTTTAGGTTAAATATACCTAGGTACTATTCGATAATATAATATAATAAGAAAAAAACAAAAACTCACCGGTATATCTTCATTTATACTTGCGGTAGGATCTGTCATCGCCACTATGCATATGGATATATTAACACTCATAGAGAGCGTTAAAAACAGTAATATTGAGTATATGAACATTTGTCCATGTCTCTTTCCCAAACTTGACCCTGCGAAGAAAAAAAGTTGGATAGGTCATGTATTCGATTTTGAAATTGATTCACCAGTCTGGGGATTTGCTGGGGCAGATAAATAGGAAGCATTTTTTTTGTTTCAATTTATTTTTTGGTTTCAATTTGGAAGTGAGAACAGAAGACACAAGTAACAGTCGTATACAATCATGAATGTTTTACTCACAAAACAAGAACATTCCTTCGTGAATCTATATGGACACCTTAAAAAATTATCAATAAACACAGACACGGCATTATGAAATGATATAAGTACCTTCTATATAAATATAATTATTATAAAATTTATGATTATTGTCAGGCAAACAATACGATTATGAAGTGATTATAAAGTGATTATACATGGTGGCTCATTTTCATAAAAAAAAATAATATATTCTGATGAATATTTTCAATATAATAATATTGTACATGTGCAAAACATTTTTTCGGCAACCGTCCGGGAAGTGAGCACTTCCCGGACGATTTTTCTTTGAGGAAGCAGCATTTTCCCGGCCTAGTCCGGGAAGTATTACATCGTTGTTGTCACTGTAACTATGAGAGTCTTGGTAGATATGGTTTTGATAAATGCGGATGGTAATTACCATAGCAGTGAAATATCGGCTCACGGCTATTTGACATGAAATTAGTTGACATTTCGATTTTCGAAGGTTTTGTTGCAATTATCGCAATAAACTATCGAAAGCAGCTGCAATAAATTCATTGCTTATATCAACAAAAAATATTTCAAAAACACGCCACCAAATCACTTCGTAATTCGAAAACTTAATTTGCTAAGTCTTGCTGACAAAAGAGCTATCGCCGATATCAAATTCTCTTTCAAAATTATAAATGGAATCATTCATTCCTCATCCAATGTTCCACAATATTCCACTCGCTATTATAACTTGTTCCATACATCAAATCTTTGCATACATCCATACTGAACACAAATTACTATCTCAACTCCCCTTTACATCGATGCTTGAAAAGTTTTAACTCCATTTCAAACATAATAGAGATTGATATTTTTTCCGACTCTTCAACAATCTTTGTGAACAAACTCAAGAAACATTTTGTTTTCCAGCATCTAATTGATAATATATTACACTACACTGTTTTACCACTAACCAAACCGATTTTTTAACGCCTCGACACGTGTTTCGCTAACTATGTTCAGGAGAAGATTAAAGAGTTTCAATCTTCTCCTGAAGGAGAAGGTTGTTCGTTGAATTTCATATATGGTTTTCTGTGTTATAGCTATCCTGAGTTTGTGGGTATATAACGTCTATGATACGCATATATAATTTGTTTTTAAATTAATATGTTTCAAATTTGACTGTTCAAAGTTAGGTCACCCTATACATTTCCTGCTACTCACCATCATTCTTTTCGAAATTAGTCACTGGTTGAATAACTATTTCAGTTTTTGTTCCGCTCGTGATGAAACTCTTTGTCGGAACAGGATCGTAGTCGTATTTCATTTTGAGCTCTGAAAAAATGAAAATATAGTTTACCACATTTTTCATACAAAAGTGTAGAAGCTTCCATGATGTTTTCATCTATATTTATATCGGTGCAACTGAAGAAAATTCGAGGATTTTACCCAACAATGAACAAGAGCAATGGTTCCATACGTATTACTAACTCTGTATATACTTGTATCATATGCCGTGAAGAAACAGTGACAGCTGTTTATGTATAAGTTGTTGAGAAATGCATGATTTTGTATTACGATCACGAGTTACGACCACGAGTTACGACATTGAAGAATTTGCTGCAAGAAGGATGCAGCAACTTGATAACTATCGGAAAATAGAAAGAAATGTTCCATTTTGATTGAACTACGAAACGAAATGTCCATCGGTGAAATCGTAGTTCAGTCAATGTTTGTGATAATTTTCGAACTTATTGTTGTGGAATGAGTGGAAATAGTACACATTGTTCAACAAGCACGGAATAATAGTCATTTTCCACGGGAATGAATGTTGCAACAAGAGCCGTAGGCGTATCGTCTATCATTGTAATAAATTCCGGCGTTCCACAATTCTGGCACCAACAATGTTTTTTCTCCATTTTAATTATCTGTTGGGAGTCACCACTTGCTCTATCCACGCTTTGCAGATGATAGTACTCTCAATACTGCGTTCTCTTCTAGAATTCCCATTTCTTCCTAAGGAACTATAATAACACACGGCGAAGGCAGTGCAACGCTGTCAATATGAAGGTTTTGCTCGAATTACAGCTTCGGGAACCAACAACCGAGTCGACTTCAGCGCCACCAAAACCAAAGCCTGTATTTTCTCCAGGAAGGCGGAAGTCAGTATTCCTGATATATCAATGTCTGGTACCACCATTCCCTCAGGGGCTCACAACTTGTGAGTACGGGAATGGTGAACCCGAGGTACCCGAGCCGGATATTCACCAAACTTCAACTTGTCTTGGGTGATATCATCTTCTCTCTTCCTTTTCCAATCTATCCTATCGGCCTTCCTAGGCCAACTTCTCTCTTCCCCTTCAATAGGATTATTTACTGCCGAGATGGTATATTATTCATTAATAGATTTCCAATTACGATATGGAATACCTTTTTGGGGAGTGTGCAGCCCAACGTCTTTGAAAACTTTGTTGATTCTACAGTAACAAGCGATATTTATGAAATGTTGAACCTCGAGATTCTTGCAGAATTTTAATTTCCAATAATTAAATATTGACAGTGATTGCACTATTCATTTTTTTATGTTCTGGTTCCCACGAAAAGGGATATCCTGTAATGTCCAGAGAACATCGTGAGAACCAAGGAAATAAAGGTAGGAATTGGTGTTCTTCTCAAACTTCTGGAGGTTATATACCTCAAGGAACACCTCCTTTGGCAATGTGTTCCAGAGCCTCGCTGTTCGTTGGATGAACGAGTCTTTGGAAAGAGATGTTCTGCAGGTCTCCAAAGTGACCACGAAGGGTGCGAAGCCTCAACTCGACGGGTTAATCTCGTGGGGACTGCCAAGGGAGGAACAAAGGGTGATATTTCAGAAGAGCATCGTCCATAAAAATATCTATAAAATAGAGCCAGATCGCCAACTTTTCTACGGTGTTCCAGAGAAGTGAGTTAGTTTGTGAGCGAGGCATCACCAATGAGACGAACTGCTCTTTTTTAGACAGAATCCAAAAGTTTCAGGGTATGTTTGGGTGCTGCACTCCAAATATGGAAACAGCATTCCAGGACAGGTCGAATCTGTGCCTTATAGGTCATAAGCAGCTGACAGGAAGTGAAATAGCTCCTGGCCCGAAACAGAAAACCAAGTTTTTGGGATACACTTCTAGCAATGGATCTCACGTGATTGTCCCAAGGAAGGTTATTGCTGATAGTAATACCAAGCATCGAAATGGATGTCTTCAAAGGTAGGGTTACTCCTGACAAGCATATATTGGGCACAGTAAGATCGGCTTTTTTAGAGAAAAGGCATGCTTGTGTTTTGTTCTCATTGAAATCTAGCAAGTTATGTGATCCCCATTCAATAATTGTTGCCAAGTCCATATTTATGTTGTCAACATTTCTTCCTCCTTCGTTTCTGATTTGTCTGGCTGGTGTTGGAGCCCTGGAAGAGATGGTGGTATGGACGGTACTACCATTCGCGAAGCTGTGTACTGGACAAGAAGTTGCTTCCCAAAAATCGTTGATATGGAGTAGAGAAATAGTGTTGGAGCTGAAATTGATCATTGCGAAACACCAGCATTTATGATTAGAGAGTCAGATGGAACTCCGTCGACCACTACATGGAGAGACCTATTTGAGAGAAAACTAGCTAGCAGAGAACATAGCTGGGGAGGCAAGCCATAAGATGGAAGCTTGACGAGGAGTTCGTGGTGCCAGACTCGATCGAATGTCTTGGAGATATCAAGTGCCACGGCTAAGGTTTCACAATTTTTTTCAATAGATTGCTGCCATATATGTGAGACGTAAGCAAGCAGGTCACCAGTTGATCTCTGATGACGAAAGCCATATTGCCTATCGTTGATAATACCTGAATTTTCCAGGTATTTCATGAGCTCGATGTTGAGCCTGATGAATAAGCACAAGTTGAAATTCACTACAACTCCCATCCATCATACCACGCGCAACAGCAATTTTAGTTTGAAACTTCCTCTACCCACAAGAAAGTTTATCAAAGATTCCATATACTATGATGGTGGGAAAATGTACAACCACTTGCCAGTTGATATAAGGTCAGCAAGTCTGAATGACTGTCAATTTAGGAAGAATGTCAAAAAGTTCCTCTCTGATAGACCCTATTACAGTTTGCAGAAATATTATAGTGATATGTTTGAATTATTATATTTTAGTATTTTAATGTGGTACTCATTTTGACTATATTGTCACGTATTTTCATGCCGTTATATTTTAACCTTTTTAACAATATTATCTGACCTAGCTATGTCAATAAGATTCTTCTTCAGACAATAAAGCATATTACTATTATATTATTATTATTATTGTTCGAGCCGAACCTCACCATCAAGTGGTGTGAGGAGGACAGACCGCGGCCGCTCAAAGAGGCTCTGGCAACGTAATACAAGCTGTAGGAACCCGTGGCGATGGATGAATGTCACCGAGCTATGCACCGAGGTATGGTGTCGCTTACGGGGCCTCTGGGAATAGTCCAGTAACTTTGTCGCCTGAACATATGAGGGTAGTATGCGTCAAATCCGGTAGTTCTGATTTTTTGCAGACTTGTTCATGATGTTGGCCTAATGAATGACCCAAGTTTTTGACCTCGAGCACCGAACGCAAATTTGTCAAAAATCGAAAAAACCGCGAAAAATTGTATTTTTTTCAAATTTTGGCGATTATAACCCTGAAGGACTAGTTTTTGAAAAAAAAAATCTCTCAGGACGTTTCTAAAGCAGATCAAATTCGCTACAATCTGATACAAGAAGTGTCTTTGTAGACCCAATAGTTTTCGAGATTAAGCCTTTCAAAGTTTATAATTTTTTTCGAACTTCGCAATGTTGCAATGTTTTAGGCGTCACTCGAATATACTCTAGCCTAGCGGGATGAAGTTTCAATTACCTCCGACGCAGTGTGCTAGTACTTTTCGTGTGAAGTCACGAATGCGACCCACCTATAGCACGTTTTCAAACTTTTTAGGCAATCTAAACCAATCTGGCCAGGTTACCTCCTATACACGAGACTCTGCTCGATTTCACTCCTTGCGGACATACTATCAGGTGAAAATTTGTCCTTGCATCAGTAATTCACATTACATATTATCTGTCATCATTTTCTATTCTCATGTACAATCTCCTAACAGGTACAGTTGTGGTTGGGAGTCACACTAAACCCTCTCTCCTGGGGGTGGATATCCACGCCACGAGGCCTCAATCCCAAAATGATGACCAGAGATGCAGCCCCACAACACCTCTTGCGGATGATTTCTTGCGGCTGCACGAAGGGTTGTGGGAATGCGTGCAGCTGCAGGAAGTCAGAATTTAAATGCTCATCAGTCTGCAGGCACTGCAGTAGGGCCTCTTGTGACAATGAACCTGATGTTGTAGTAGTAGATATCCAAGAAGGAGGAGGATGACTTGTGGGCAAAAGACGTCGACGATTCATCACCATCCCCTGATGAGGATATGCCATCCCAATACGTCGATCCAGATCCAGTCGAACCTCAACCGGGACCTTCCAAGATGGCTAAATTGATCTAATTTTTTGATCTTCAATATTACTCTATTTCCTAACAAATAAGCTCATTAACTTTTGTGGTACTTATCTTTTTTATTGCATTATTCGTAGATCAGCTCAAATATTCTCGTTCACATTCCTCATTTTCTTTCTTATCATCCCATCATGAAAGTACAGGGCTTCGATTGTATAATCAGGGTCAAAATTCAATCAGAACAACAGGATTGCAAAAAATTCGAAAAAATGTTATAATCGCCAAAAACTGAAAAAAACGATTTTTTCGCAGTTTTTTCGATTTTTGACAAAGTTGCGTTCGGCGCTCAAGGTCACAAACTTGGATTATTCATTAGGTCAACATCATGAACAAGTCTGCAAAAAATCAGTACTACCGGATTTGACGCATACTGTGATGTATAAAGTTACTGGATTAGAAACAGGGCGACATATCAGAGTAAACAGCCTTAGCCATGTGCAGGGAGCACCACAGGGCTGGACCACCTCCTCCTCCCGTCACTCGTATGAGAAGGAAAACTTTTCGCCTTCTTCGTAGACGAGAAAAGAAGTCGGAAGAGTAATCTTCAGGAACCTGAACGAGAAGGGTCTTTCATATTGAGATGGCCCTTAATGAGCACCATGAGTCGTATATAGTAAAATTTATAACGGCATGTAGGTTAGATACAATGGGTCACTAGGCCTAAAAGTGTCGTCGGAGACATCAGTCAGTCAAACGGGGTGGAGTGTTTAGTGGGTATACCCTGGAGTCAGAGGACTCCCACACTATATCAAATGGAAAATTAGACCCAAATGAT